GTACTTCTGTAACAATCATCCTTTCACAGTCTAACACTTATTTCTAACAGATGTTCTCAATGACACACACTCAGGGAATACTCTGTGACAGTGACTCTGCTGAAGAACAGTTGGCTTCTATGACATTATAAATGATCAAATATCTTCACCAACTCACCTTGAGAAAAATCAGTCAAATTTCAATATGGACATTTTGACAAGCAAATACCTTCAAATTATCAGGCTTTCTCACTTGGGCTAATAAAGCACATTCTTAGAACGGGCATACTATAACTACTTAATAAAAATAATTTTAACATATATACCATTAATTGAGTTTTTCTTGGGCCTAAAACTATACTGGAATACTTTCATTTTAGTATACATAATCTGAAGAATACTGAGTATTTTAAGGATTGAAATCTATGTTTTCTCAAGAAAGCAACAGTCGTGGCAGGATACGAAAGAAAGGATTTTATCCTCTTTTTTGTTTAAATAAGCAACTGATATCATTTCTTTTTGTCTTTTATTCTGGAGATAATGGCCTCGGATACCAAATGTTAAATGAAAGTTAAAATAAAAAGTAAATTGAATTGGTTAGATATAACCCAGCAAGTTCTATAGAAATAAAACATTTATCACTATGAATGTATTTCAACAAGATCTTTAAAAATTATATTTCTGAGTTGTAAAGGAATGACAAGCCTTTTTTAAGATATAGATGCTCTTAAAATTCTTAAATAGTGAAAATGCTATTTTTTATTTTTGCCAAAAGTGTAATAATAATGCTCTGTTTATTATTTTTTTAAATCCTAACCCCATCCCGTTCTTCCTAACAGTTCTCAATTTCCATTTGCCTACTCCAGGTAGCTTAAAACCAGAGAATTATTCAAATGCAAGGGACGACAGAGGTTATTTAATTCAGTTTCCTATCATCCCTTTTATAGCACTCCTGAAGAGGGCCACGTGCAATATCTGCTTCGTTTTCTCCAAAGATGAGGAGATCTTATAATCTCAGCTAATAGGGCACTGTTTTTAATAGAGCACTGATTGTTTGAGATAGAATGCAGCCCTTGAATTTTGAATCCCGAATCTGCTTCTTTATCCCATGTGACTTTGAACAAGACACTTAACTTCCCCAACCTTAAATTCTCATTTTTACAACAGGATCATAATATCTCATTGAGTGGCTGTGAGAACAACATGACATCACACATATCAAAGTGCCTTGTCGGGAGTAGTTTCTCATTAAATATTACGTTCTTCTTGAAAGTTTATTCTTACACTGAGATGAGATTTACAATTTGTTACTGTTACCTTCAGGAGCTACACAGAGTTAATGTTATCTCTCTGTAACCCACAACTGCCCTCTGAGCACTAGAAGGCAAGAATAACTAAGGGAAGATCTTTTTTCAAATGCCAACCATCACACTTCCCACCGGACTGTTACAATCATGACTTGGAAAAGATCAATGGTAACGTTCATTAGGAAAAATCATCAGGTCTATGTAGGGTTATCTAGTCCAATAAACATTTACTAAGTGCTTACAATGTGCCAGAAACTATGCTATTGGCTAGAGATTAAAGAAGTTTGTAATCTGCTGAGAAACAGACATATACTAACCAATGATTGTACTACCCAGCTATACGCTAATAATTAAGTTATATATAAATTGCTATGTGAATAAAAATGAAAAACCACACAGAAGGCATCTGGGATGGGTTCTCCACAGGTGGCAATTTTAAAAAACTCAGTCTTGAGAATATTCATTCATTCATTCACTCATTCAGCAAACATTTATTAAAGACCTACTACGGGCCAGACATTACACCAGGTGCTGGGAATATAATGGTGAATGGGGGTTGGGGGGGGAGGATCCCCACCCTCATGGAGTTTAGAATCTAATTTATGATTACTCCAGTGTAATGGAATAATTATTTTAATATATTCTAAGAATAACAACTTCAACTTTCCCACTTGCTACATAAATGAATAACCATTTTTTGGGGTTATAGAATCCTAGGCTTTTTAAGTTGGATATCTTATTGTATACCCACTCGATCTAAAATCCTAGAAACAAGCAAGCAAACAAAATAAAATTTTTTTTTAACTTTTTTACCCCCTTCTCATGCTGCAAAACTAAGCATGTTGTGAGAGTAATCTGTGCAAGGATTTCAAACAGTTAAGACCAACAGCCAATGTCTGGGCATATGCCAGAGACCGCAAAGCTGTATTAGAGGGGGTGGAAGTAGGAAATTCAATTAAAGCTGGGTCAGGGGAGGAAGATGAGGTCAAAAGAGCACAGCTGAGTGTCAGAGCTCCTGGAGGTGAGGTGAGGTGAGGTGAGGTGAGGTGAGGTGAGGTGAGGTGAGGTGTGGGCAAGGTGAGGTGGTGATTTCCTCATACCAGCTACCAAGAATGTTTGTTATGTGCAGTGTTCAACTACTGAAGCTTCCACTGTAACTGTGTGGAGGGCTTAAAAAATGCTAGGCTAAGTGGGGAAAAGCCTTGTTCTTGGTTATTAATTTTAATAAGCATTCCCAAGAATAACAGATACAAAATTAAGAGGGAAAGTTATAACACATAACCTAAACTCTTCATGACAGTAATTCAACTTGGGGAAGCGAGTGTACTCACGATAGGATTCCTACTATACCACATAAAGCCTACTCAGAAAGTACACAACCATTTTACGTGCGCAAGAGTTGTTGTACGAAGTTGAAGAAATTGCTAATGCTCCATTCCAGCCAAATTAAAACGAAGATGGCAAATGTGGCTGTCAGTTATTTGAAGGCAACACTGTGGTGCGGCAGAAAGACCTGTGCTGGAACTGCGGTCACAGAGACAGTCAGTGCCTGGGGAGCGCTAGGTGTGAGCGTGGGACTCAACAACGAGGCTGCCTTTCTCCTCCAGAGCTTTCAAACTCTTGTCTGCTCCTGAAAGTACACAAGTATTCTTCCACACGAGCACTACGTCATCATCCATTGTAGTGGATGGAAATGGGACTAAATTAACTCTACAGAATACTTTTCAAATCAATTGTTTTAATGACTTTCCCATCATTTATCAACAAAATTCAGAGCTACGAACAGAAAAACCAAGTGCCTTGAATTTCTCTTCCTTTTACTCCCCTAAACTTTAACCTTTCAAGAAAATTTTATTTGTATTCATCTAATTTCATTCTAGACTCACCAGAGTCTCCATGCTGAGACAAAACATATGTGTGTCTTGTTCACACAGTAGGAATTCAATCAATCTTTGCTGAGTGGAAAGATGAATTAATGCATGGAAAGGAGGCAACAGCTCTTTCTGAAACATGGATTGTGAAGCCAAAAAAGTTAAATACCATGCCTGACTGATACATATTTATGGTAGAGTGGGGTCCAGAATCCAGGTTTCCCACACCCAGTGCCTCACAGTTACCCTAACACCAGCCAGAAACATCTACATTAATCTAAACCTAAGAGAACTCAAGGTGAGCCAAGGTAGAAATAAACAGACACTGGGCCTACCTAAAAGGAATTTAACAGTATCTCCTTTCCTTTACAGTCACTGCTATTCTCAGCATGTGTGGAAGAGCTCAAGGCATGATTATTATTGTCAGCCTGGTAAGAATATTAGGAAAGAGGAATACATCCAACTGTACGGAATACAAAGAGAAGAGACAGAGGCCACATCCTTCCCCAACTGAACAGCAAAATGGTGAAACTGTCTATTACAGAATTTATTTGTTAAATATAATTTACTGAGCTCCCAGTACGCACTCTCTGCCAAGTATCAAAAGATAAAACCTCTCTATGCTTGCTCTTCTGGAAGTCACAGTCTAGGAGGGAGGGAGACATGGAACGACTGTAGTAATCCTCAATAGGTCAGCTCTGACCTCCTCTGACTTTCCCTAGTATAGCTGACTTAAGCCTAGAAGGACAAACAGGAGAGAGATGAAGTGAGAAGAGAACTCTAGGCAGAGAAAGCAGTGTGAGCAAAGGTCTGGAAGCCTAAGAGGACACAGCATATTCAGGGAATTACAAACAGGTCAGTATGTCTAGGACAAAGACTTGGGTCTTTCCAGTGGCTGCAGATGAAGCTGAAGAGGTTGTCTGTGGCCCAGGGGATTACTGCAACCTTCCAGACACTGTGCAAAAAGGTGCTGAGCCCCTAGCGAGAGATCTCCAGTAAAGTAAAACACTAAAACTCACTGGTTCTTGCATTGTAGCCCTGCCACTGCTTTCCCTTCTTTGACACCAGTTCATATACTCTTTCTTTAATACTTTCAGTTACTAACATGAAACATCTATCTACTACTTATATTCTTTTTTATGGTAAACTAGGAAGTTATAGTAAGAATCCCAGGGAATTTGTATTGTATTCTTGTTAAAAAATTCTTCCTCCCTTCCCCCTAGCCCAGTTTTCATGGTTATATTTTCTTTCAGTTTTCATGGTTATATTTTCTTTCTCCTATGTTAAGTAAGTTTATGAACCGTATCAAAGAATTATTGAATGGTAAATGGAAAAACTAGCTGATTTGCATTAACTTAAAAAATTGAGAACTTTGTTTTCTTCATTGAAAAGAATTTCCACTAAGAATCCATATTCAATGGCAGAGCTTAAGAGGAAACACTTAAGGGTAAAAACAGGTTGGTATATGTAGTCAATTATTTTTTATAGGATTGAGTTACTCAGAGGCAACGTAGAGTGGAAGAGGAAAGAATGCTACATTAAAATCCTGTAAGAGCTTGATAACATGTCTCCTTGACCCTGGTCTTGAACCTCCACACCACCCAAATTCATCTTCTATATCTTAGATTTAAGCTATTTTATGAACAAATTATTTTTTTTTTCCATTTTTGGTACCTCTAGTACCAAGTACTTATTTAGCACTTAATAAATGTTTGCTGAACTCTGGTGGGAATATTCAAGAACTAAAACAAAGTGAGGGAGTCTACTTGGTCACAGCACCCAATGCTGTGTCTGGACTGGGTCAATCTGATCACCAAAGCTGTTGTGTGACACCTTCACTTACATAATCTCCATAAGTCTCTTGTGTTGGGGGTGGCGGTGGAGGTCTGTACCCAGTTGGGGGCACTCCTCTTGCTCTAGGAGTGAGCAGTCCTCTTCCCCGACTCACTGGCCCTCGAGTGGAAATGACTCCCCTAGAAGCTGGCGTCCCTCGTGGCACACCAACTCCAACTGGCCGGGCTGTGACTCCTCCCCTTCCCCTGCAAGCAAGAGGGTCAAATTAGCAATATATATCATGTTCTCTAACATTTCATTGTTCACATGCATTTATACTCAGAAAAATCAACACTGCATATTCTGTAAAAGGAAATAAGGAAACTACACACAAAGTAAAACTTAAAGCAAATGAGAAACAGGTATCTACCAACAGGAAGTTAAGTCATTTAGGCACCTGGTCCAGCAACAATAAATCTGGTAACATCAAAGAAATTAAGACTCAATTTCTGGCTAGGATACACAGCAGAAAGCTATGGCATCTGGGAAGGCTGCATCCACCAAGGACTTCTCTACAATGCCATGCCAGGGTCACACCCAACCTTCACTCCAGCACTAGGATGTGGGCCTCACTTTGCTTGTCTATGGACAAGGAAACTGAGGCCTAGAGAGATCTTAAAATTGCCTGAGAACACACAGCTAGCAAAGCCAGGAACCAAAATATATGCCAGGGTTCCATGACAGAGAGAATAAAAGGAGCTTTCCCAAATAATGTATCAACTACACAGTAATTTAAAATACCATTCTTAAGTTAAATACAGATATTTTCTATTCATGTATTTCTTTCTTTCTTCTTTTTTTTTTTTTGTGAGGAAGATCAGCCCTGAGCTAACATCTGATGCTAATCCCCTTTTTTGCTGAGGAAGACTGGCCCTGGGCTAAGATCCGTGCCCGTCTTCCTCCACTTTATATGGGATGCCGCCACAGCACGGCTCGACAAGCGGTGCGTTGGTGCGTGCCCAGGATCCAAATCAGCGAACCCGGGGCTGCCGCACCGGAGCACGCGCACTTAACTGCTCGCGCCACCGGGCCGGCCCCCACATTCATGTAAGGAAGGAGGCAGCTGTACCAAGAATAGTTCAACATAAGCAAAAACCTGAGAAAATGTGCAGGTCCTATGAGGAAATGAGGACAGAAAAATGCAGCTACTCCAGAGAATAAGGGCACAGCCAGATCCACCTCCCACGGACAAAGTCCCCCAAACGAGGAGAAACACAGCAGATAGCGGGGCTGCCTCCATTTCAGTTATCTCTTGCTTCTCTAGTTTGACTGGACAGCAAATAGACAGCTAAAAACTTAATTTC